ATTTTTTATTATACAAAAAAACACAAAATTTTCGTTATGTAGACTTTGCAATTGTAAAAAGGTTTTAAATAATATCGTGCATAGGAAAAAATATTTAAATCCCCAGTTTTACGTGTATTGGATGTGTGGTGGATTTAATTTTTCCGAAATTGGAAAAAAAGAACTTTTCCCCTACTTTAGCTCAGTTTTCAAGGTCTTTTCTCCAAAGTAAAGAAAATATCTCTATTTTTGTAATTGTTTTCCATTTTACACCAAAAACCCTGAAAAACGCAATACAATGATAATACTATACAAAAAAACCCAAAGTCGGCGTTTTATTCCAAAAAAAAGATCAGGTTTTTTTTTCCCCATTCGCAATGTGTTGGGAGGAATTTTTTTATGTGGTGCACCAAACCCCACAGACCCATTCTCTCACATGTGGGGCCACCCGCTTTCCCCGCTTTATTTGAAGCCCTAGAATTATTTTATTTATACGCAGAAACATTTGGCTCTAAGACGTATTTATACTCGAAAACATAAAGGGTTAAACACCAAGATCACCATCTTGTTTCCTCCATTAGTTTAAAGCAATTTTTTTTTTTTTCCTAGTGTGTACAATTTATATAATTAGTACAATAAAAACCCAAAATTAAATACTACCATTTTGAACCCCCATTTTTTTTTGTTTACTGTCTAGCATTAGTGCACGCACACACACACACACACACACACACACACACACACACACACACACACACACACACACACAGTCAGGTGCTACTGATATACCTAGTCTTAATAGTTCATCTCTTTTTATTACTAATCATACAATTTGTTTATGGTGTTATTACTTGTCTAAATTTTGTGCTTGAATTCAAATCTTACTATTTAATTTTATTTAAAACCTTGTTTTACTATCTTTTAACTAAATTTTTTTTTGTATTATTACGTACTTGTTTAATATCTGCTCAATCTGTAGAATAGTTTTTCTGCTACCTACACTTTGTACTGTTTGTATAAGCTCTCATATCATATTGCACCTCCAGTGTAATATTAACACTTATCTTTATACTGTTTATACTGTTAAACTTGCATTAGTCATATGACTGCAAACATCGATCCTGACATTAACCTTTTATTAACCCTTTGACTGTTTCAGTCGTATACATACGTCTTACGAGCCACTGTTTTTGATGTATATATACTCAAATTCTAGCGGCTTCAAATCAAGCAGGAGAAAGCTGGTAGGCCCACATGTGAGAGAATGGGTCTGTGTGGTCAGTGTGCACCATATAAAAAATTCTGCAGCACACAGTGCATAATGAGAAAAAAAACTGACCTTTTTTTTAATTAAAATGCCGATTTTGTGGTCTATTTTTGTATAGTATTAATGGTTGTATTCTCGTTTTCTTGGTCTCATTTGATAGAATTGGAAACATATTATAGAAAGAGGTGATTTTGATTGGTTTTACTATGAAAAAAAACTTGAAATGGAGCTCAAAGTATGGGAAATGTTTGAATTTTTGCCGATGTTCAAAAGTAAACAAATGATGTCTTTTCCAATAAATGTCCAAGTAGCCATTCTAATATGCAGTCATGAATGGGTTGACATTATTTATACAATTATTACAATATTTCAGTAGTCTGCATAACAGTAAATCTTCTATTTTTTGTCTGAATAAAAATTCAAAATAGAAAGCAAGAGTAATATCAGAGGGGCCTGGATATGTGACTGATGAACAAAGAAAATGTTACATGTATTTTAGAGCCAGGAATGTCTGCATTGTTCATTCTGGACCCTATTTTGAAACTGTCATTTTTTATTTTTTTGTGAAATTGGCCAAATTGCAAATTTCTGACCATATTATTGGGTAGTTGAAATTGGTAAATGGGCAGTTTCTTGTACTCAATTGATAGAAAAATGGATTTCTAAAGAAATAGCTATGAGTTTGGTCGACTGGAACAATGGAATTAGCCGAAAATAGGGCTCAAAGTGGGCGAAATCGCCGATTCGTAAATATCGCCGAGGTCACTAACTTCACGAGAGCGTAATCCCATTAGTTTTCCATCAAATTTTGATTAACTTAACTAAACCAGATGAACCTCTCCTTTAGCCAACCGATACTGCCAACAAAATACGTCTTTCTCTACCGTAGGAACAAAACTAGCAAGTCCCAAGCTCAAACATTCAACCAAAAGACTACCTCACTGGCAACTACCCAAATACTCTATTTTTAGCCCCAACAAACTTTACTGAAATCTCACTTATCATTAAAACACTAAAGAACAAGACTGGAGACATAAATACTGTAACTTGCCACCACTCGTGTATAAAAAATCTTCTCATGTGTTGTCACCAATTGAATCTTTTTTAATAAATCCACTGAATCTTCCACCTTCCTATCCATAATCAAAACAGCAGGAGTCACCCCAATGTTTGAAGGAGGTGATCCAACAGAATTGAACAATTATAGGCCTATATCAAACCTGCTCCTATCTAAAATCTTTGAAAAATTAATTCACAAACAAGTCTACCCTACCTCATATCCCACAACATACTCAACCCTTGTCAGTTTGGGTTCAGACCGAAAAAAAAGTACTAATGATGCTATTATACACAAGCTCTAACTAATGTAGTCTGCACTCGAGAAAAATTAATTTCTCCTGGGACTTTCCATAGACTTATGAAAAGCTTTTGATTCAGTTGACCACGACCTCTTGCACTAAAAACTCAAACATTACGGGGTCAGAGGACACTCAATTACCTAAACTCTTGTATTAAAAATAGAACCCAGCATGTATACACAAATGGAGCCAGCTCCACTACACAACCTGTTCTTGTTAGAGTCCCACAGGGGAGCATTCTTGGCCCAATTCTCTTTCTCATTTGTATCAATGACCTACCAAGGGCATATAATCTCCTTCAACCCATTTTATTTGCAGATGGCACAACTTGTATCTTTTCTCACTCAAACCCAACCATACTAACAGACACAGTAAATGCTGAACTGCTTGGATGATTACCAACAAACTTACTCTCAATACAGACAAAGCCTACTTCATGCTTTTTTTGGAAACAGTTTCAAATGTACAGCTAAGCATATTGCTAAATGGTTCACCTATTTTGAGACAGGCAGAGGGCAAATTTCTAGGTCTCCACCTTGACTGCAGCCTCAAATTTCACACACATACAACAAATTTCCAAGATACGGTACTATGTACCCTAATCAGCTCTTTTAGCTTTGTAGCACTCATTAACCCTTACCTCATCTATGGTATTTGTGCATGGGGGCTCAACCACAGCAAATCACCTTAAGCCTTTAATAACCCAGCAAAATGCTGCAGTGCACTTGATTACTAGCTCCTGCATTAGACAAAACACACTCCACTTCTTTTCAAGAGTCTTAACTTGCTTAATATACAAAACATCCACACTTAATGTGCCTACTATATACACAGAAGACTATTCTCTAATGTAAACCCTCCTCTCAAACTACTCCTTGATAACTAACAGAACACACAACCATAATATGATATCCCTTGTGTTAATCTCTCCCTATGCAAAAATGCTATGCATGTAAAAGGCCCAAAGATCTGGAATTAATTGCCAGAACACACTAAAGGACCCCTATCTGCAAATCAGTTTAAGGCCCTAATAAGAAATCACATCACCCAAAATTCACCAGACAAACTGTACCTAATCACTACCAGTTTCTCAAAAGTTACTCATTGTGCTGATGAATACTCAACCACTTACTACTCTGAAATTAGGATGTCTGTTTTTGATTGTTTTAAGTAGTACTAGATTGTAATACAGTAAATCAATTTAAATTGTTCCATTGTAATACCAAATTTTGTTGTTTTAAATAGCACTAAACTGTAATACATCATATTGTAAATTGTTTTAAATTGTTACATTGTAATACAGTGGAACCTCAAATATCGAACTTCCTTCGGTCCAGAAGGCTGTTCGAGTGCCTTTATCGAATGAATTTATTCCCATCAGGAATAATGTAAATTAGATTAGTCCATTTCAGACCCTCAAAAATACACTTATAAAAGCACTTACAAAAATACACTTACATAATTGGTCGTGTTGGGAGCAGTTCGATTTTTGAGGTTCCACTGTACAGTGGACCCCCGCATAACGATTACCTCCGAATGCGACCAATTATGTAAGTGTATTTATGTAAGTGCGTTTGTACGTGTATGTTTGGGGGTCTGAAATGGACTAATCTACTTCACAATATTTCTTATGGGAACAAATTCGGTCAGTACTGGCACCTGAACATACTTCTGGAGTAGCCGGGTCACCATATGGAGAAGACCCGGGCCGGAAGTACCGGCAAACCTCTAATGAATGTTAACCGGGGGTCCACTGTACTATAATCTTTATTAACTAATTCAATAGTGTAACAAGTCTCTACTAGACTTATCAAAACCATTCAATTCTTCTGTACTCACTAACTCATCTGATGACCATATGAACTATATTATTGCCTTCCTAATCTTAAGTTAATCTTTAAGTTTGCCCGAAATGTTCTGCATACAAAGGGGCTTTTGGCATGTACACCCAACTATTATATTCCTCTGTACAACCATGTAATTTGTCAAAATAAACATCTTTATTACAACAAGCAAAGGAGGAGGTATTTTTTCATTTTCCCCATGCCAAGGTAAGGACACATTACAAAGACAAGAATTAATAAGAATACAGAAGCAAATTCAGATGGGTGTGTACCACATGTACAAGCACAACTGTAAGTACAGTGTGACCTAGGTGTAGGTAGTAGCAGTGGCAAGATGTACATATCTAAGGGAAACTACCAGTGTGTAAAACAATTACAGGTTTCTGTTTCATACTCGTTTGGCAGGATAGCAGTACCTCCCTGTGAGGTTGTCATCCAACTTGTTACCTAACACACAACTTCCCCCACAGACCCCTCCCCCCCCAATACATACATGTACACATACTATGTATATGAATCAATGTTAAGATGGTAAATTACTACATTACTTACTTCACAAGATCAGGAACATCTTTAATGGTCTTGTACTTGCCACTCCATACCAGGAAGTACTTCTCTAGCCTATTGACATGATGATCAGTCAGTCCTGAAAATAATTTATATTTGTATTATGCAAGTAGAGAATAATGAGCAAGTACAACCTAGGAAGCGAGTGATGAATTTGTGAATGCTGAAAGACGAGTGTTTAATTTATAAAAGCAAGCATAATAATGAATTTCAATAATTGTATACTAAAAGAGGAAAGATTTTTTTTAAATACAGTGGACCCCCGCATAACGATTACCTCCGAATGTGACAAATTATGTAAGTTTATTTATGTATGTGCGTTTGTACGTGTACGTTTGGGGGTCTGAAATGGACTAATCTACTTCACAATATTTCTTATGGGAACAAATTCAGTCAGTACTGGCACCTGATCATACTTCTGGAGTGAAAAAAATATCGTTAACCGGGGGTCCACTGCATATGATTACAGTGAATAGGATGTATCGTGCAGCCACTGGTGGATGCTAGTCGGTACACTGACACTGTATGCTACAGGATCAAGGTGACCCCTGGAACACCCTCCAGGTATAAAACTGCCTGTGTGATGGGTTTACATCACTGCACTATCCAAGAAGGGTATCTCGATATTTCACAAGAAAGTTCCCTTTATCTCAACACTTACAAAAAGGAGTACGTAATATAGTGAGGAATGGGTTTCTAATGCAGTTAAATATCAGCACTGAAGAGAAAACTAATTTCTAAAATAAAAATGGCAAACTGGAAACTACACAGCTTAAAATCAATTTGAATCTTCCACTAAGATGCATCAACTTTGAAAGTTTAAAGTATGTCAGAATATGTACAATAGGACACCACTTGTACAGCAGGTTAGGTTCCAGGCTACCACCGGAAAGTGGACATCGCCAGAAAGCGGAAAGTCAAATTTTCCACTTATAAATGCATATTAATGCCAGACAAGTTTACACTAACATATTAAGTTAGTAATGAAACTAGGCATTAAAAACAATAAAAAGTAAAATACACATACACAGTACACTCATTACCTACCTTAAAATATTTGTAGTCTTAATGTAGGCCGAGAAGTGAGTAAACGAGGTAAAATGAATAAATGAGAGAATGAGCAAGAGAATGAGTAAGAGAGAGAATGAGAGAGAATAAGAGAGAAAGAGAGAGAAAGAGAAAGAGAGAGAGAGAGAAAGAGAAAGAGAGAGAGAAAGAGAAAGAGAGAGAAAGAGAAAGAAAAGAAGAGAGAGAAGAGAAAGAGAGAGAGAGAAAGAGAGAAAGAGAAAGAGAGAAAGAAAGAGAGAGAAAAGAGAGAAAGAGAGAGAGAAAGAAGAGAGGAAAGAGAGAGAGAAAGAGAGAGAGAAAGAGAGAAATAGGAAGAGAAAAAGAAAAGAGAGAAAGAGAGAGAAAAAAGAGAAAGAGAGAGAGAAAAAAAGAGAAAAGAGAATAAAGAGGGAGAAAGGAAAGAGAGAGAAGAAAAGAAAAAGAAAAAGAGAAAAGAAAGAAAGAGGAAGAAGAGAAAGAGAGGAAAAAGAAGAGAGAAAGAGAAAAGAAAGAGAGAAAGAGAAAGAAAAAAAAAGAGAAAAGAAAAAGAAAAGAGAAAGAGAAAAATAGAAAGAAAAGAGAAAGAAAAGAAAGAAAGGAAAAAAAAAAAGAGGAAAAGAGAAGAAGAAAAGAGAGAAAGAGAAAGAGAGAAAAGAAAGAGAGAAAGAGAGAGAGAGGAGAGAGAGAAGAGAGAAAGAGGAAGAGAGAAAAGAAAAGAAAGAAAAGAGAGAAAGGGGAGAGAAGAGAAAGAGAGAGAAAGAGAGAGAAAGAGAAAAGAGAGAAGAAGAGAAAGAGGAAAGAAAGAGAGAGAGAAAAGAGAGAAAGAGAAAGAGAGAGAAGAGGAGAAAGAGAAAGGGAAAAGGAGAGAAGAGGGGGGGAGAGAGAGGAGGAGAGAAAGAGAATGGAAAGGAGATGATAGAGAGAATGAAGAGGAGAATGGGGAAAGAGGAATGAGAGAGAAATGAGAGAGAATTGGGAGAGATGAAAGTAGAGAATGAAGGGAAGAGAGAACAACAAGGACAGACAAGTTATCTGCCTGTGAACTTATTCCACCTCTAATCGCAGATGGCCACCCTACTAGTAGTCAAAAAAGGCGGACCTCTTTGCGAACACTTTCTACCAAAAAGCAAATTTCCCGATCCGAAAAGGGGCCTCCTTGCTACTGCAAAAACTTGTCAAAACTGTCATGTGCAATAAGAGGAGGGGGTGATTTTCCTCTTAATCACTTTACCCAAAAAAAGGCTTTTGGGGCCCAACAAGTTGACCCAAAATTTTGAGAAGATGGCAACCACTAGCCACCTCTAACTCGCCTTTCAGCATGCCTAGACAGTGTAAAGGCCCCTCTCCAGGGAAAGAGGAAAAATTAGTCCCTGTTCACAAAAAAAGGGGCAGAGCAAAATAGCAACTACAAACCAGGTCACTCCGTAAATCAGGGAAACCTTGAACAAAATCTCAAGACAAATACAGTTTTTTTTTGACTACCACCACTCTTTGTGATCGCAAAGGGCTTCGGGAAAGGTACTCTGCTGCGATTGTTGTTAAACCTCTCCACTAAGTGGCCCAGTCACTGGATAAATCCAAAGTCGCTGTGGGGTAGCAGGGGACATTGCGGGCCGCTTTTCGACCGGGTGTGCACCAGGGCCTCTTAGCAAAACGTCAAGCACTGGAATTGCAGGCTCTACGATATGTCTCCTCATGATTTACCTCATGGAGATCTCTAAGTTCGTCCTCAATGGAACGGAATCAAGTCAAGGCATCCAATTGGGGCAAGCGTTCCACAGAATGGTGCTGGGTCCTCTGTTATGGAATGTCTACTTACACGACCTCTTCATCTCATCCCAAATCACATGCATATGCAGACGACTGTACACTGACATTCACCTTATCCAAGAGAAAATGCCAGCTGCTCTAAGCACATCAACACCAGCTGAGAGCTATATCAGCTTGGGGAAAATAATGGCAAGTAACATTTGCACCTGAAAAAACGCAAATGATTTCTTCTCAAGGCACCATGAAGGTAATGCTGGCGCAGTAGTAAGATGAAATGGGACGATGTTTTGACCTGGAGAAGAAGTGATATCCGGGGGTGAAATTTGACTCCAAACTAACCATGAGAACCAGTTGTAAATCTTGCAAACAAGCAGCCAGGAAGCTTACAGCACTTTCGACGTAATCTCGCATCTGTCTTGACAGAGGGGTGCAAGATCCTGTAACGAGGCACAAGTACGCTCACACCTTGAGTATGCTCCACTTTTCTTGTTTGCCTGCCCCCCCTCTCCTCAACTGGCGCTGCTTGACAGAGTAAAGAACAGAGCAAGACGTCTCATCTCTCGCCTGGACCCATCCTGGATACTCGATCATTTCAGGCAGAGCCTTCAACAAAGGAGGGATGTGGTGGCCTTACTGTTATGAACAAGCCAATATTGGTCAAAATACCAACAACTTGGATCCACTTCGAGGACGCGTGAACAACTTTTATGCACAAACGGAGAAAGCAGCAACTTCACTCTGGCTGTAACCCTTCTCAGAACAAATCACTCCATCTGAGATCATACATTACCCAGGATGACTCGAGTATGGAACACATTCGTACAGCATAAATGATGTCAACGAGATACGTCAGTTGATCAAAGAAAATCTGGCCCACAGATGCTCCAACTTCATCCTGTTTCCCTCTTGTAGTCTCGTAACAAAAAGCTTTCCAAATGACGTGTGTAGTAACAGCTCATAGCTTGCCAATAAAATTAGAATCCTACCAGTAATAGCTTCAATAAAGCTAGGGACCTTAACCTTTCAAAACCTGTGTAAAAAAAAAAAAAAAAAAAAAAAAAAAGAGAGAATGAGGAGAGAATGAGAGAGGAAATGAGAGAGAGAATGAGAGAGAATCCTTACCTGTAAATAGCTGTCGAAATAAAGCTAGGATCCTTAACCTTGTCAAACCCTGTGTACAAAAAAAAAAAAAAAAAAAAAAAAAAAAAAAAAAAAAAAGAATGAAGAGAGAGAATGAGAGAGAGAATGAAGAGAAATGAGAGAGAAAAGAGAATGAGAAAGAGAGAATGAGAGAAAGAGATGAAGATAATGAGAATGAGAGAATGAGAATGAGAGAATGAGAATGAGAGAATGAGAATGAGAGAATGAGCAATGAGAGTATGAGAATGAGAGAATTGAGAATGAAGAATGAAATGAGATAGAGAAATGAGAGAATGAAGAGAATGAGAGAGAATTAGAGAGAATGAGAGAGATGAGAATGAGAGAAATGAAATGAGAGAGAAATGATAATGAGAGAGAATGAGAATGAAGAGAATGAGAATGAAGAGAATGAGAAAGAAGAGAGAATGAGAATGAGAGAGAATGAGAATGAGAGAGAATGAGAATGAGAGAGAATGAGAGAGAGAATGAGATAGAATAAGAGAGAATGAGAGAAGAATGAGAGCAATGAGAATGGACAGACCCCAGAAAATTTTGCACGAATTGCTGGCTACACCTCATGGATAGAAGAGACAGCAAGGGCAAGGAGAGGTGTTGCCTGTGTGCTTCTCTAAAAGTGTTCATGCCCACACATAAAAAAAAAAAAAAAAAAAAAAAAAAGGAAGTTGTTTGCCACCCCTACACATCTTGAAATGATGTTCTTCAGAGCTCTGTATAAACACTAGTACCTCTGTACTAGCATGTGCAATGTACAGACCTCAATTGGCAACATGCAGACCCCTAACAACTTCCTACTGGAAAATAATGACTCCCTTCTGCTACAACACCACTGTCCAACATATTAAAATTGTTGTGACCCAACCAGCACCTTAATACAGAGTGACTTTGATGACCTGTCTTGCAGTGTTTGACAAGAGAAACTTTGTTGATTTCCTACACTAAATCTCTGGCTCCTCCCTTGACCCAGCAGTGAGTGATCTGGCATAAGCATAGTCACTTGTCAAAACCCCTTTGGCTACGTTGATCGTCTGACCACAAGGCTGTTTTTTACCACACTTAAATCCCAACCGAACAAGGTGAGGATCCACACACGCACACCTGGCTATGGGAAAGAGTAATTGCCAGCCCTTTGCCTGAGCTCGCCCCCTACCGACG